ACCTACCTTACACATATATACGCGTCGTTTTGCACAAGATCTTGCTAACATGCATCATCGCGTTTGTTCTTATGAATCATGTAGCACACATGGACTCCAGCAAAATGGATGAAAATTAATGCGCCGTCGTTTGCACCCAGTCTCATCATTTTTTTACGGATACCAAGACACAGCCGACGATTTGTCCCAAGCAGGGTGGGACGGGAGGATTAGAGTTTACTGAGAAACGTGATGGCAGGCGAATGTATTATCAAACAAGGCGAACCTGCCGAACTCTTCTATGTTGTCATTCATGGATTGTTCTGCGTCTACGTAAACGAGACATTCATTATCTCTGTTGGAACTGGCGGATCGTTTGGTGAACTTGCATTAATGTACACGGTAAGTTGATGGAGGGGTTTCGTGCTTAGGTAGGGCTCGCTCTCGGTGAATCAGTTTTGCTCGCTCTTTATTGTCTGAAGTATTGAAATTTTTTTCTTACGCGAGTAGCGTTGGGGTTAAATGTGTGTGTGTTTTGTCATTACTTTGTTATAACGTATCGCTCACATTCGGCATTCGTTTATTATCAATATTTATAGAATCCGCGTACTGCCACAGTAAAAGCCATGACGAATGGGACACTGTGGGCGGTAGATAGAGCCACCTACAATCGATAACAGAAATACAGTGTGTGAGAACTTTCTCCGCAGCGTAGAAATATTCAAATTGCTGGAGTCTGAGGAAATAACCAAGCTCGCAGATGCTATGGAAGCAGTTGACTATGAGGATGGCGAGATAGTCGTCTGTCAAGAAGAGGCTGGGGATTGTTTTACGTTATTGAAGTCGGGTCTGTGAGTTTGGTGAAGCACGATGGAAGACGAGAGATTCGGTTATTAAGTCTTGGACCCGGAAAGTATTCTGGGGTAAATTTTTGGTCTCATGTGTGCGTGTGTGTGTGCCTAATTACTTTAAAACGTGATGCATTCCATCGTCTTCTCTCAACGACGGTCATAGAAAACATGCGTCGCCACGCTGAAATGTTTCGACATACAGTGGGGCTGCAGGTGTAAACGTGTTGCACACAACTTAGAAACACCTTCGCTTATGAGTCTAGATGCGGACTATGCTATGAATTATATTATTATTATCTATGCAAAAAGAGAAAGGGACATTATAAAAAAAAACACAATCGGGGGCGTGGGCTTGATTCTAAGCGGGGTAAATAAGGTAATAAATATTAAGACGAGAATATATGAATATATCATATATGTAAGATGTAAGTATAATTGAAGTCAGTATTGTAGCGTATATGTTAATTTTGCTTACGTTGACGTAAAGTTAGTATACAAGAAAGGAGTTAGCGTATGTGTTAATTTGCCTATTTTATGTTGGCTCGAAGTTAGCTTTATGTTAATTCACTTATGTAAAGGAAGTCATCTCAATAAACGATCTATATACAGTACTTCAATAAGTATACAATTTACGTTAGGAACTTGAAAAATAACCATAATTTATTTATCTTTCTAACTTGCATTTTGAACTTTACCAAATATATAAGATGAATGATGACGATAAGACACGTTTACTTTTGTTGTGACCGAGTTGACTTCGTTCCGACCCGAACATTTCCACGTGATTCGAACATTTTTGTTTGCCATGGTTAGGATACTAGGAGACATACACTCAGTGGAAAAAAGTCACCGGACACTTTCATCAGAAAATATGCTTGCCTAAATCCAACGTTCGTTAAACGTAAACGCTGAATAAATGCTAAATTAAATGCACATAAGCGCTT